AGCACCAAAAACACCAACAGCACCACCAACAACAAAAGCAATACCAACAACAACACCATAAACAACAACACCAACATCAACATCAACAACACAAACCACAACACCACTACCACAAACAACACCACAACCACCAACACCAAAAACAACAACAACACCAGCAGCACCACCAGCAACACCAACAGCAGCAACACCACCAAAAACTCCAACACAAACAACACCAACAACAAAAACACCAACACAAACACACACACCACTACCATCACAACCAACAGCAACACGAACAAAAGCACCACCACCACCACCATAAGCAACAACATCGACAACAAGATCGTCAATCATTACAACAACAACGCAACGACAACAATACCAATTACAACAACGCACCGCGGAACCCCACTTCAGCCTCGAACCCAGGGACAGTGACTCACCGTTCGGCCACCTCGCTCCGGTCGATAGCCGCTGGATCTAGGAGATCCATCCTTCCCACCAGCAAGCTGGGGGATGGTCACAACTCCCTTTAGCAAAACGTGGTTTAGTGAAAACGACCTCGGGCCCAAACCTGGCGGGCGCAAGCCTGGAAAATGACGGCCGCGGCGCCCTCCCGAGAACCGAAAACGGCGAATTCACAGGTCGACGTGCCAGGGTGGGGGTTCTGTCCACCCCCGACAAGCCCCAAAGTCGACGGTTGCAGCATCAACGTTGACGGTGTGTCGCCGACGCTTCAAATTCGTCGTGGGAGTGCGACCTTGCGCGCGAGTGCGTTACGCTCTCGCCTCGGCGCCATGATCATGTTCCTCAGTACTGAGCTCCCGCCTGGGCGCTGTAGACCTTTCGCTCTCAACTTTGTCGACAGTGGGGTAATGCGCGAACTTGCGAACTGTAGCTCTCGCCCAAACGCCGAGCAGATTTCGCCCGACAGGGGCGCCCTGGCTTTGGCGCAACGCATATATTTCACTCGCGACATCGTTTGGGATCGGGGCGGGCCGCGCGCGAGCCGGTGAATTGTCGTATTCGCTTCAGGTGGGTGCATATTGCGCTTGGAAGTGGCGTTCCCGCTCCCGCGCAACGCATGCTTTTCGCTCGCGGAGTCGCGGTCGAGCGGAGATGGGGCCGGGCTCGAGCGGACGAAATGCTGCTCTTGATGAAGCGCCGTGCAGACTTCACGTGACAGAGTCAGTGCTGCTTCGTCGCAGCACATGCTCTGTCTTCGCCGCTCTCACTGGGAACGTCGCCGCGAAACAAGATGTTCTGGAAGTTCCTCCGCCGCTCGTGCGCGGCCTGCTTTTTGCCCCTCCTCGCTAAGTTCGTCGAAGGCGGGACCGCGCGCGAGCGCCTTCCGTTCTCTGGTTGGGAACGCGAGCCGCTTCCAAGGCAGGCGCGAGGGCTTCTGCGAAGTTCCGCCGCCTTCTGAGAAGGCCTTCTCCTTCTCGTTTCCCCCCCCCCCAGAGGCGGAGCAGAGTCCTCGGTGGCCGAGGCAGGGCCGGGCGGGGCACGCCGCCGCCCCGCGCCGTCGACGGCGCGGCCGACGAGGCGGGCTGCCCCGCCGAGGCGGCCGGCCAGGGGAGCCGCGCCTCCGGGAACGCGGCGCCATCATTGGCTCTTACTGTGCGGGAGTGAGGGTGGAAGCGGGCGGGGCCCGCAGGCTCGTTCGACCTGGCTGCCTACCTTCCCCCCTCCCCTCCCTCCTCCCTCCCCCTCCTCCCTCCTCCCTCCTCCTCTCCCTCTCCCTCCTCCCTCCTCCCTCCTCCTCCTCCCTCTCTCCTCCCTCCCTCCTCCCTCCTCCCTCCTCCCTCCTCCCTCCCTCCTCCTCCTCCTCCTTTCCCTCCTCCTCCTCCTCCTTTTCCTCCTCCTCCTCCCTCTCTCTCTCTCTCTCTCTCTCTCTCCTCCTCCCCCCTCCCCCTTCGTGTTCCCTGCTCTCTGCTCCGTCCTCTGAGGACAGAGGGAGGATAGAGGGATCTGACCAAGCATCCAGGTTTACCACCTGGCAAATCACCATTGGACAGTCCTGCGGGGTTGAAGGATCAGTCTATGGGGACAAGCCCTTTGCTTGAGGAGATCCCCAACCAGTAGCCTGCACAATGGGTGATGGTAGCGATGGCACGCCCTGACTATCAGTCCCTCCCATGCTGCTCCCACACACTCGAGTAGCTGTGGAGTGTGTGCGTGTGTGTTTGTGTGTTTGTGTGGGCCCTCTGGTCCACCGCCAATCGTTTGCATCCCAGTGTTCGACGTCTAGTTCACTGTGCTGTCGACTACACTCGATCGCAATCAACACGTCCATCTGCTGCGCGCGCTTGAGGATCCTCTGCGCCGCTGACTTGAAAATGCGTGTTTCGGTGTTTGTGTGGCGGCATCCGGGTTGTGAACGCTTGCGCAGGTAGTAGGTTACACACGATAGCTTGTACCAACTATGGCACTTTGGGATAATGGTCCTGGTCCTGTCCAGACAGGAGGCCGGGACTACAACATGAGCCTCAGGGAACAAGCTTGTGTTACTCTGATTTTACGTCGCTTTACCTGTTCCCCCACGTCGGGGGAAAGTTGAGATGTGCACATTGCAGACAGAACGGATGTAGTACAAGCTATGTGTTGTATTCTTTGCGCAGCACGGAGGACAAGAGGTGAAGGATGAATTGGGAGTGAACGCTGAGGAGCAGAGCACGGAAACAAGAGTGAACGAGCATTGCGAATGCTTACCTCTGCAAAGGAGGAGGGTGGAGGAGGGAGTGAGAGTGGAGGCGGGGACGGAGGAGGTGAAATCATCCGCCGACCCTGTAGGCGTGTGGAAGACGCTGTTTTGTTTGACTCGGCGTCGTCATCGTCGCCGTCGCGTTCGACCCCTCTTTCCCTGGGCCCGTCGCCGCTCCCCCCCCCTTTCGCTGGGCCCTCCTCCTCACGCGAGCCAGCCAAAGCGAAACCAAAGCGAAGTTGAGCAACGTCGTAGTTGAGTCGAAAGGAAGCACCCTTCCCTTTGATCCGGGGGGCGGGAGTCGGTCATCCCTTGGAGGGTCCTGGGGCGCAAAAGGCCGCAAGACAGCCCAAGAGGCCCCCAAGACGGTCCAAGGGGACCCCGAATCGCCGAACAATCGGTCCAAGACGCCAAATATGGCCTCCTGGCAGCTCAAGCGGCTTCCAAAACGCTCGAAGAGGCCTCCAAGAGCACACCAAGAGGGCCACAACTTGCACAATTAAACGATTGTCGACGCAGTTTTTGAAATATTCTGGCGTTCTCGCCTTTTCGGCTTCCCGACGCCCCAAGACGGCCCAAGATGTCACCAAGATCGGCGCAAAGAAGTCCCCAGAACGACCCAGGAGGGCGCCAGAACGAACCAAGAGAGCCCCAACACGGCCCTAGAGGTCTCCCAGACGGCCCAAGAGGCGACCAACACGGTTCCAAGAGGATACCTACACTGGGGCCCGAATGAAGACTTCGAGCGCTCGGCCTCGAAGAGCTTCCAGGAGGCCCCAAGAGGCCCTCAAGAGGCTCCCACGACGTCCCAAGAGGCCCCCAAGAGGCACCCAGGAAGCTCGAGGGGACCCCCGAGAGGCTTACATGAGGCCCCCAACATGCTCCCAAGAGAGATCGTTCCGAAGAGACCCCACGAAACATCAAGCATCACTGAGGAATCTACTCCACGTCAGCATGCCGCCGTCGTGGTCGTTGTCCCCCTTCAGGGTCGGCGGCGCCGGCCGCAAGGCCTTCCCACTAAATGAGGGGGAATGGGAGCAGAACAAGGAACAGAGGAATGAGGAAGATAAATGGCCGGAGGACAGGAGAAGAGGGTGGAGGAAAAGGGAGAAACACCAGATGGGGGAGCCGACAGATAACTAGCATGGTGAAACGAATGACGAGAATACCGAGAAGGATAAGGAAGAGATGGAGAAGAGAGACGGGGATATGGATGACGCGGCACGGCACGGCAGCATGGGGTCCGCAAGTCGAACCCGCTGAGCTCCTGACAGGCCCGCGGTGCTGGGGCGGCGGCTGAGCGCGCCGCTCGTCGAGGCCCGACGCGCAATCAGGCAACGAACGCCCGCTGCCCACCGACGACGGTCGGGCAGGCGCAGTAAATATAGCAGAAGAATGAGACGTCCCCGCCTTCGGCAAAGGGGCGGGCCGCAACCGCCCGCCCGAGAGGGAAGGCGGCGGCCTGCTGTGGATTCGGATGCAAGCACGGTGAGGGAGAAACCAGGCGAGGACAAGAAGGCCCAGAAAAGCATGTTCCGGCAAAGCGTTTCCAGAACATGCCAAAAAACGGTCAAAAAGAGGAGGAGGAGGAGAAGGAGGAGGAGGAGGAGGAGGGCGCTGCTGGCCGCGGAGCAGGCGCAGTCACGGTTCCGAGGCGGCGTGGCTGATGCGGAGCGCGTGGGCCACATCTGCGCGCGCGGGGGCAGGACTCGGAGACGGCCTCAGACCGGGCCGATCACCATGAATGTAAGCGTGAAGCGACAGCTCACCCTGGATACGTAGCCGGCGTTCCGTCGACAGCGCGTCGAACAACTCACCTGGAATGTGGATGCCACCTCCCGCCGTTGGCCGCCTCAGCGCCCCAGCCGCGCCTGCACCTCCCGCACAAGACCGCCTGGGGACGCCGCCCCCATCAGATGCGCCCCCCCCCCGCCGCCGCCAATGCCACCGCCAACAAGGACGAGGAGGAGGAGGAGGAGGAGGAGGAGGAGGAGAAGAGGAGGAGGAGGAGGAGGAGGGGGAGGAGGAGGAGGAGGAGGAGGAGGAGGAGGAGAAGGAGGAGGAGGACCGACCAACAAGGACGAGGGAGGAAACACGTAACTTCTTTCTTGAGGGCCAGGTCCCGCCCGTCTTCGACGCCTACCTTGCACGAGTGAGGTTGAAGGCGCCTAGCCCTGGAGCGGCCCTTGGCCCTTGGTTCTAACGGGGGCAAGGCAGGGGACTTCTAACACACTGGGGACCACAACTCGCCCCAAGACCTCCTCGGGCGTAACAGCAATGCCAAGAGCGACTGCAAAAGGCTCGCGCGAACCTCCATGATCTGCTGGTCGTCGTCATCGTCCTCCTCGCCCAAGCCCATGGCTTCCAAATCGATGTCGTCCGGAACCGGACCGTCCTCCTGGGCTCGCGTGCGGCTGAGTTCGCAGAGAGGAATGCCCGATGGCAGGTGGGAGGCAATGGGATTACAAGAAGGCGCGGGGGGAAAGAGGGGGGGCGAGTAGAACAACCCCCGTCCCCCCTCTCCATCACAGGTACCCCTACCCCCGACCTCTCTCTCCGGGCGCCTTCTGGCCAGGATTCCGACGCGAATCGAAACGTGGCGACAAGGTCCCCCCAATAGGCCTCCGAAAATTCAAACGAGGAAGGGTCTCGGTATCCGCATTGATTGCTGAAATTCTCTGGCCGCTCCCTCCCTCCTTTTCTCTACTCCGCTCCGCTCCCCCTCGCTCGCTCCATGGGCCACTACCTCGCTGCTCCCGTGCTCCTAGCGTATGAACGAGCGAGTTTCGAATACAAATCCCCCGCCCATCCCTCCCCACTCTATCCCTCCCCGCCCACCCTCCCTGCCTCCACATCTCTCCTTCATCGACCCATCCTTGCACATCCCTTCCTCCGCGTTTCTCGTTTGTTCTTTGTTGTGTGTTCTCTCTGTTACTCACATGTTCTCGTTCTCTCTCATTATCCTTCTTTTTGTTCTCAACCATCCTCTGATGTTGGGTCCCCCTTTTGAAGAGACAGCGCCCCGCGTTCCTCTCCTCCTCCTCCCCCTCCTCCTCCCCCGCCTCCCTCATCCCATCCGCCTGGTCACCACCCTGCGTTTCACCCACCCAAGACAGCGCTTCGTGGCCCAATAGGGAGCTCCACCGAAGGCCCCAGTGGCAGGGTTCGCATGCGTCCCCCCGCCGACTTCGGCACACCCCTCACACGGTTCGTGACCCCATAGGGAGCTCCGCCGAAGGTCTCAGTGGCAGGGTTCGCATGCGTCCCCCCGCTTATTTCGGCACACCCCTCACACGTTCCGTGGCCACAAAGGGAGCTCCGCCGAAGGCCCCAGTGGCAGGGTTCGCATGCACCCCTCACGAGCACCGCGCCCCCGTCGGGAACTTCGCCGAAGGCCCCAGTGGCAGGTTTCGCATGCGCATCCCCGCCCATTTCGGCGCACCTCTTACACGGTTCGTGGCCCAGTCGGGAACTTCGCCGAAGGCCCCAGTGGCAGGGTTCGCATGCGCCCCCCCGCCCATTTCGGCACACCCCTCACACGGTTCGTGGCCCAATAGGGAGCTCCACCGAAGGTCGCAGCGGCAGGGTTCGCATGCGTCCCTCCGCCCATTTCGGCACACCCCTTGGCCCCATAGGGAGAGCTCCACCGAAGGCCCCAGCGGCAGGGTTCGCGTGCGTCCCCCCGCCCATTTCGGCACACCCCTCACACGGTTGGCCCCACAGGGAGCTTCACCGAAGGCCACAGCGGCAGGGTTCTTATGCGTCCCCCCGCCCATTGCGGCACACCGATCACGAGGATCGTGGCCCCACAGGGAGCTTCACGGCGGCAAGGTTTGCATGCGCCCCCCTGTCCATTTTGGCACACCCCTCACACGTTCCGTGGCCCCGTCGGGAACTTCGCCGAAGGCCCCAGTGGCAGGGTTCGCATGCGTCCCCCCGCCCATCTCAGCACACCCCTCACACGGTTCGTGGCCCCATATGGAGCTCCACCGAAGGCCCCAGTGGCAGGGTTCGCATGCGTCCCCCCGCCCACTTCGGCACACCACTCACGAGGATCGTGGCCCCATGGGTAGCTCCACCGAAGGAGGATCGCGCCCCCATAGGGAGCTCCACCGAAGGCCCCAGCGGCAGGGTTCGCATGCGTCCCGCCGCTCGGTTCGGCACACCCCTCACCAGGAACGTGGCCCCACAAGGAGCTCCAGCGAAGGCCCCTACGGCAGGGTTTGCATGCGTCCCCCCGCCAATTTCCCTATAGGGAGCTCCACCGAAGGCCCCAGCGGCAGGGTTTGCATGCGTCCCCCCGCCCATGTCGGCACATCCATCACGAGGATCGTGGCCTCGCAGGGAGCTCCACCGAAGGCCTCAGTGGCGCAAGGTTCGCATGCGTCCCCCCGCCCATTTCGGCACACCCCTCACGAGGATCGCGGCCCCATAGGTAGCTCCAACGAAGGCCCATGCGGCAAGGTTTGCATGCGTCCCCAGCCGATTTCGGCACACCCTCACGGGGATCGTGGCCCCGCAGGGAGCTCCACCGAAGGCCTCAGCGGCAGGGTTTGCATGCGTCCCCCCACCCAGTTTGGCACACCCCTCACGAGGATCGTGGCCCCATAGAGGTTTCCACCGAGAGCGATGCCCACAAGGCGGCACTCACAGCTGCATATGGTTGGGTCCTTCGCCAGGATCATGCGGAACCCTGTTGGGACATGAGCTAGAGTGCGGCGGACCACGCTCTATCCCGCACGCCGCCCCGCCGCGCTGTGGCGACGAAGCAGCCGGGAGAAAGGGATCGCAATGACTGGTGTGAGGGGCGTGCGCCCGCCAGGAAAGAAAGGGGACGGAGGCAAGGGCGTGGCAGTCACAACCCACATGCTGCAAACGATGTCCGTTGACAATGCACCATACTGCAACGTTCAAGTACAAACAACAATAAATGATTGCCGGGTGGGGAACAAACCCAAGCTGTCGGGCCAGGGAAACGAAGAAGCCCACATGGCAACGCAATGCATGCACACGGTTAGACGTAATACGAAATAGATACAGTCAGAGGTGGGATGCGCAGCGCGCGGGACACGCTTGCATGGGCCACTTGCCCTCACAAGTGGAATCTGGCACCCCGACAGCCTTGGAGATAACTTCAGGGGGGGCTCCGGCAGCCTTCGGTGTGGTAATGTTCTGAATCACCTGCTCTACCTGTTTGTTTAAACGACGGGTGATGGTCACTGTGAGCAAAAACAAACTTGCGCGCGTAACTTCGGTTGCATTGCTAGTGTAGGGCCTGCTCTGGTTCTACCACTGCGGAAGTCAAAATATATGGGTCAAATTAGGAAGTCCTTGATCGGGCAGTCGTGCCAAAGGCTGTCCAAGAACAGGTCTGTTTCCGAGAATGAAAAAATAGCCTGGCGAAGGACCCATCCATATGCAGCTGTTCATACCGTCGTTGTATGCACCGCATTCGGAAGAGCTCCCTATAAGGTCACGAAACGTGTGATGAGTGTGCCAAAAATTGTCCGGCGGGCGCATGCGAGAGCAGCCACTTGGGCCGTCGGTGGAATTCCCTATGGGGCCACGAAACGCGTGCGGGGTGTGCCGAAATGGGTGCGGTGGGCGCATGCGAACGCAGCCACTGGCGCCTTCGGTGGAGTTCCCTATGGGGTCACGAAGCGCGTGAGGGGTGTGCTGGAATGTGCGTGGGTGACGCATGCGGGCGGTGGCACGGGGGCCTTCGTTGGAGCTCCCTATGGGGCCACGAAACGTGTGAGGGGTGTGACGGAATGGGTGTGGGTGACGCATGCGGGCGGTGGCACTGGGGCCTTCGTTGGAGCTCCCCATGGGGCCACGAAACGTGTGAGGGGTGTGCCAAAATGTGCGTGGGTGACGCATGCGGGCGGTGGCACCGGGGCCTTCGTTGGAGCTCGCTATGGGGCCAAGAAACGTGTGAGGGGTGTGACGAAATGGGTGTGGGTGACGCATGCGGGCGGTGGCACTGGGGCTTTCGTTGGAGCTCCCTATGGGGCCACGAAACGTGTGGGGTGTGTGACGAAATATGCGTGGGTGACGCATGCGGGCGGTGGCACTGGGGCCTTCGTTGGAGCTCCCTATGGGGCCAAGAAACGTGTGAGGGGTGAGACGAAATGGGTGTGGGTGACGCATGCGGGCGGTGGCACCGGGGCCTTCGTTGGAGCTCCCTATGGGGCCACGACACGTGTGATGGGTGTGACGAAATGTGCGTGGGTGACGCATGCGGGCGGTGGCACCGGGGCCTTCGTTGGAGCTCCCTATGGGGCCACGAAACGTGTGATGGGTGTGACGAAATGTGCATGGGTGACGCATGCGGGCGGTGGCACTGGGGCCTTCGTTGGAGCTCCCCATGGGGCCACGAAACGTGTGAGGGGTGTGCCAAAATGTGCGTGGGTGACGCATGCGGGCGGTGGCACCGGGGCCTTCGTTGGAGCTCCCTATGGGGCCAAGAAGCGTGTCAGGGGTGTGACGAAATGTGCGTGGGTGACGCATGCGGGCGGTGGCACTGGGGCCTTCGGTGAAGCCCCCATGGGTGTGGGTGACGCTTGCGGGCGGTGGCACTGGGGTGGAGCTCCCTCTGGGGCCACGAAGCTGTCTTTTACGGGGTGCGGGGGAGGACTTGTGGTGGCCACGGAAGAACTGATCACTAACTCTGTAGCGAAGATCGCACATGCGTGCATGCGTCAGCCTGCCGAACTCAGAAACCATCAATCATCAGATGTAAACTGAATGGGTCCGTGAGCAGTTGGCGTGGCTTGGCACCATTGCCCGAACGACTTCTCATGTGCATCCAAATTGGTTCCTTGAAGCTCTTGAAGAAGACCCGGAAGAACGAGTTGCGCGGCTCCTGGATATGCGGATCGGTTGAGAATCCAGAGGGGAGATACGAATACACAGCCAACAGAGCGCATAACAGTCATTGCGCATACGCTTCATGCCATATCCTCAGAAACTGCTGCTGCGGCTGGATTTCCTCGACTGTGATCTTGCACGTGCCCTGACCGCACACATCGGGATTCGTTCAGTCAGTAGCCCTGGAAATCCCGACCCCGTCTGAGTCCAGGCGCTTCCAGGGACCGTTTGCACTTCACCGCGGGCCGCCGCTCCATGGCCCAGTGGCCATGGGGCCGAAAACGGCCTCCGGACGCCCAAGTTGGGACGAAGCGTCGGGGCCGCAAAACAGCACGAAGCCAGAGGCCTGGGCATCTCCTGCTGAAGATTGCTCGGATCGTCGAAGAAAGCGCCCAGGCTCCGCCCAGGACGCCAGGACAGGACCGCGGCCCTGCTGGGAAGCAGAGGGGCGAAGGCAGGGGAGGGGGCTCGTCGTGACCCCGTCGGACCCCTTCGCACCCTCCACCTCCCTCCTTTCCCTCCCCTCCGCCCGCTTGGGCTGGTGGCGTCAGGGGGAGGGGAGCAGCTAAGGCTACGGCTACGGCTCAACGCGCGCGGCCCACGTGTGGCCGACCGGCGACAAACCAATGAACCATGCCGATCCCCACACACCTGCAATCCCTGTCAAATGAACCTGGCGTGATCCCAATACAGGGCTCTTCTTCCAGAGCAACTCATAGCAGCTCTGAGAAATGAAAAGCAGTGCAATACAACGCATCGCTTGGCGTTGCTTGGCCTTGGTTGGATTTGCCTGGCACTGCTGGACATTGTGTGGAGTTGGTGTTGCATTGCGTGTCGTTGCTTAGCGATGTTTGGGATTGTTTGGAATCGCTGTTTGGCCTTACATTGCATTGCATTGGAATCGGCACTTGCCATTGCTTCACATTGCTTTGCACTGCTTGGCGTTGCTTGGTATTGCTTGGCACTGCTTAGCGCTGTCTGCCATTGCTTGGCATTGCCTGGCGCTGCTTGGCATTACTTGGTATTGGTTGGCGTTGCTTGGCATTGGTTGGCATAGCTTGGCATTGTTTGGCACTGCTTGGCGCTGCTTGGCATTGCTTGGCATTGTTTGGCATTGCTCAGCATTTTGGCATTGCGTGGCATTGCACGGCAATGTTGGCTTTTGCCCAAGATGGCCTCAAGAGAGTGGGGATTTCACACGTGACGGCCTTCTGGGCGTTGCTCGAACTGTCGCCACACATGGTGCATTTGGCGGCACTCGAGAAGCAACCGTTTCCACACATGGAGGATGGGGCAAGGACAAGAAAAGAGAACTGCGAGGATGTCGGGCAAAAAAAGCGCAGCAGAAAGGAACGGAAGGCCTGGCCGTGGAAGAACGAGTCACATGTTACGGTTCTCCCAAGCCTGGGGACTCGAGAGGTCACGTGTGACGGTCTCCCGTGCGTCCCTCGAACGGTCGCCACCCGAGGTGCTGGGCCGGCACGGTGGCGGGACTCGCCGCAGGCAGCTGTACATCATACGAACTACCGACCAGACCACCCCAACCCAACCCAACCCGAAGACCCGAATTCCGCCCGAATTTCGGGTTGGGGGGGTACGGGCGGGCGTACGGGCTTCATACGCGTTCTTGTCAATGATCCCCGACCCCGCCCCACTGGAAACGGAGGGCCAATCGGGGCCTCCGGGGTGGGCTGGGGTGGTTTGGTCAGCGGTGACATACGATGTAAGATGTGTCATCGCCACCCCTGCTGTCCGTCCAGGGGGGGGGGGGAGAGCGCGCCGACGCCCCTGGGGCCGCAGCGGCGCGTGGCGGGTCTCCTCCTTGCCGCCTTTGGCCTTCTGCTTCTCCTTCTTCGCGCCGCCGCCCTTGACCTTCTTCTTCACCACCTCCGGCCCGGGCAGCGAGGGAAAAGGGGAACGAAAGAGAGCGTGGCAGTGTTTGGACGTTCTGATCCCTTTCGCAATGAGCATGGGTATGTTGGTTCGGTTTCGGTTCCAGTCTTGGTTCGGGCTTCGGGTATGGTTTTGGTTCTCGTTCCCTTCCTCTTTGGGGCTTGGACTAAACCGTGGAATTGGATTCATGGCGCCGATTCCATAACTGGCTCATTTCTTCTTCCAGCCTCTGAAAAAATCCCCCGAATTACGATTATACCCAGGTCCTGGTTCTGCTTAAAATTTATGTATTCTGCCAGTCTCGAAAAAGGCCGACACTGTCACGGTTCTGGCTTCCTTCGCATTCCATTCTCGAAGGAGACCCCCAGTTACGGATCGTGCTCTGGTTCTGGTTCTAGTTGCGGCTTCCTTCGTCTTCCAGCCTCGAAACCCCACAAGTTACGGTTCCAATCCAAATTATGGTTCCGGTATTCAGTTTCGGGCCTAAAGGGAGACCCCCAGGATCATTGATCTGGCTTCAGTTCTGGTTAGAGTTCCTGCTTCTTTGTCCTTCCTGCTTTGACTGAAGTCCTGGTTCAATTCTCGCTTTGTGTTCTGCTTTTGTCTTCTCGCTTGGAAGAAGAATATCAAGGTTGCGCGAAAGAGTTTGGTCGAAATAGCTCCAAGAGACTTTGGGAGGAACCAATGATAATACACAAGAGTTCCGGAAGGGCCCCAAGAGAACCGGATCGAGACCAACTGCTCGCACCCCCACCTGCGATTCCAGAAAGATCCCTTCAGAGCTGCCGTGATCAAGGACGTCTAGCACTATGCCATGGACAAAAAAACTAGAGTTATAGCGGCTCTTTCGAAGGAGAAGGAGAAGGAAGGAGGAAGCAGAGGAGGATGAGGGAGGAGGAGGAGGAGGAGGAGGAGGAGGAGGAGGAGCAAGTAGCAGCAACATCAGGGAGGCGGGCGAGCAGGAGGACGGGGAATTACACAACGAGCTAAACCCCAAGAGAAGACGAGGAGGAGGATGGGGCGAGAGAGGATGAGCAGGAATATAAGGAGCTGGGATGAGGAGCAGGTGAATGCGGAGACGCCCGCACGCACGCTTGCGCCCACTCTCTTGGGGTTAAATGAAGCAGTCCTTGCGGCCCCCAGGAGCCATAGCAAAATGTCGCGTGGGGCCCGCGGGCGTGCCCTGTGCCCTGCGGCGCCCGTTCATACGTGGAGGCGCCCGCATGCGTGAGGCTGTCCATGCGGCCCCCAGGGGCCGTCAGGAGACGTCGCGTTGGGGGATGCCGCCGGGCTGTTGGCGATTCTGTCACCTGGAACCCCAGGAGCTGCCTGTGCTCCCCAAGGCCGTCCAAAAATCAGAAGAGTCTTCCACGGGAGTGCTCCATACCACGCGGTGCCGCCCCTCTGTTTAGACATATTCACGAGCATGTTGCTCACTCTCATGGAGGTTAGTTGGGCTGTCCTGGCGGCTGTCTTGGGCCAAATTGAAGGCTTCGCGGGAACAGTTACCGCTCGGCTGTTATCGAATCTGTCATTCTCCTGATAACATGTCGCTACAGGGCTCTCAGGACTTCCTCTCCCAGGGGGAACGAGGGCGACCGAAAACCGACGACGAGGGCAGGCCATTAAAAGCGACGGGCAGGCGGGGCGGGCACGACATTGAAAGCGAGCGGGTCAATCGGGTGGGCGGGAGATTGAGTCTAAAGTTTGTTCGTTGACGAGGCGAGTTTGGTGGAGAAGTCACTACATAAACAAGAAAAACGACGACGACGACGACGACGGGCGGGACGTTGAAGTGGGCGGGCGAGCGTGAGATTGGCTGGAAACCTCACGCGCTGATGCGACAATGACGAAGGAAGCCATATTAAGACAAGCCAAGACATCGGCAACCATGGCAACGCGTGCGACATCAAAGCGGGCAGACGGGTGGACGGGACATCGAGTTTGAATCTCGCTCGTTGGTGATAGGGCAAGATTCGTCGTCGTCGTGTTCGTCGTCGTCTTTGCTGTCGTCGTCGTCTCTTTCGCCCTGCTAGTCGTTGTTTTCGTCGTCGAGGTTTGACGGCGCGGAAATGAAGAGGGCGGGTTCTTACCCCTCCGGCTTTCAGAAGGGGGGGGGCTCAAACCCTCCGCGCCCGGTGGGGGGGAGGTCCGACAGTGCCGGGGACTCTGGGGGACGGGTACTATAGACATGGCCCCCCTGCAGGCACAGATGACGAATGCCCCAAGCCTTCGATGTGCCGACCCCACGACCTTCCCTGGGGCGCGTTCGGGCGACAATTTTCAAACGGATGCAGCCGTGGCCACGGGTGTGTCGCAGAACACATAAAAAAGTGAACAGTCCCCGCACGCTGAAACAACACACATACAGTCGGGCCGCTGAAGAAGGAACCCTTGTCGTTGTGGAGGGGCTCAGTGCTCCTTTATTGTTTTACAGTTTGTCTTGGGTTATCCTTAGGTGTCCTATGGGACATCGAAGTTTAACTTATGGGAATAAAGGGGCCTCGCTCCTTGGTTTGGCTTCCTTATGACAGCATTTCGACCGTATGCTACGTATTGCCTCCTGCGCTGTTTGCCGCATCGCCTGAGGTCTTGGCTACTAAGAGCCCTCCAAGGTCGCCCGAGACCTCGGCAGATCCCCAGGTCCCCCGATGTCCCCGGAGGCCGTCAGAGGCACCGGGAGGAGGAAGTTTCATCGTGAGAGGGCCCAGGGACACACAAATAACTAGACACTAATCCCAGGATCCCCCATATTCTGCTGTATGTTCTGGACTTTCGTCTTCCCCTCCACTTCCACTATGTTCCACATGTTCCACTACTGTTTGTGTCTGTGTGCTTCTTTTCCTCCTGAGATCGCCCCTCGCAGGTAGCAGAGAAAGGTTTCTCAAAACCCATGCTCGGACGGACCCCATCGACTCCGTCCTCCTGTGTCATCTCTCGAGCTGGGATCGATGTGCGAGGGTCCTGGGGCCCCGCAGCAGGGCAGAAGCGCCTGCTGCGAAAAACTTGCGGCTCCCGGATCTCGGGGCTCCCTGACCTCAGCGCTCGCCTATCATTGCGCTACAACAAAAGCAGAACCTCTTGAAAGATCAGCATCCGATGGGCCTGCCATTCAGGCGAACGCCCCGCTTGGACAGGGAGCTTCCTCGCACCCGTTCTGCGCATAGTCCTGGCGAGGCGTCCAAGGACGGCCACATCTTGCACATGCGCCGCCCCCGTCCGCTCGACTGTTGCACAACCTTGCAGCTCGGGAGCTTCGCGGACGTCTCGGGCGAGGGCCCCGATACGGAGAGGAACCGCCCTCCACCCGCGCAGCTGCTGCATGGGCTGAAGACTCTGGCGCCTGCAGACTGAGGGAGGTCTCGAGCGCAGACCCATATTTTGGCGGCGAGCGAGGGGGGGGGAGGCGAAGGCTCGGAAGGCGCGGAAGTCTCCCGGCCTGCTGAGAAGTCTTCTGAGCCTTCCCCCCAGCCTTCTGAGAAGTACCGCCGGCTTCTGAGAAGGCCTTCTCCTTCTCACTTCCCCCCTCGCTCGCCGCCGAATATTGAACAGGAACTGTCCTCCATCATTGTCCGTCACGGTGCCTTTGGGCAAGGAGTGGGCGTGTCCTCAGGTCCTTTGCCTAACCCCTGGAGCCTCAGTCCTCAGTCCGCAGCCCCGAAGGGTCTCTTAGGAGCCCGAGCCCAAAATTGCCAAATCTGGCGGGGCTCCCGGTGTGTCCCCAGGGCACTGGCGCATCTTGTCGCGTGACATTTCGGGCCCCAAGAGGGTCCCAAAACAGACCAGGATAGCCCCGAGCGGCCTCCAAAACAGCCCAAGAGGGCACCGAGTCGTCGAAAGGTCGCCCCAAGACACGTAAGATGGCCTCCAGACGGCCCAAGAAGCCTCCAAGACGCTCCAAGAGAGCTCCAAGAGGCCTCCCAAGAGAGCCCCAGGAGGCCAACATAGTCAAGTCCCCACATGCTTAGTGAGGTTATGGTTTTCTTCCCACCCGCGTCCCACCCGCGAAGCTCACACCTCACCTCCCCCTCCTCCTCTTTTCCTCTTCCTCTCTCTCGTCCGCACGAAACACATACACGGCACCTACACGGCACCTACATGACACACGCGTCGACAGCCGCACACATACATCCCCTCCTCACGCATCACACGCACCAGGCGCATGCAACACATACGCGGCCCCACATGAGACCTTCGTCCTACCGAAGTATGCGCAACACCAGGCATTACTCGGAATCCACATGATACAGAAGTCCACACGCAGCCATACACACATCAGGCGGGTGGCACGACGCGTTGCACGGTTTCAACATGATCACCCACATGACACGCACACAAGACTACACATACGCGTAGGACTCGCAAAACTTGACAGGCGCGGCAGGCTCGACAGTCGCAAACCTAGCAGGCGTGGCAATTACTCGACACCAAGGGAATGCGCAGGGGCTAGTTGGTCCCTGAGCGCGGTGTCTAGCCACGACACTGTCGCAATGCCTAGCAGGCGTGGCACTTTCTCGACGCCGGAGGGGTGCGCAGGGGGGGGTCCCTGAGCGCGGTGTCAATTCACGGCACTGTCCCAAAGCCAAGCAGGCGTGGCACTTTCTCGACGACAGAGGGATGCGCAGGGGGGGGTCCCTGAGCGCGGTGTCTATCCACGACACTGTCGCAAAGCCTAGCAGGCGTGGCACTTTCTCGACACCAGAGGGGGTGCGCAGGTGGTAGTCCCTCAGCGCCGTGTCAATCCACGACACTGTCGCAAAGCCAAGCAGGCGTGGCTCTTTCTCGACGCCAGGGGAGGGCGCAGGGGGTGGTCCCTGAGCGCGGTGTATACCCACGATACTGTCGAAAAGGCATAGCAGCCGTGGCACTTTCTCGACGCCAAAAGGGGATGCGCAGAGGGTGGTCCCCGAGCGCGGTGTCTATCCACGACGCTGTCGAAAAGCCTAGCGGGCGTATCATTTGCTCGGCGCAAGGAGGGGTGCGCAGAAGGTGGT